TGTATATATATATATATATATATATATATATATATATATATATATATATATATATATATATATAGTATAGTATTTCAGTCTGGCGAGCAAACAAAAAAATATACTAGCCAATGGCGATTCAGTTGCCAAGGGGTCCATAGGGGGTTGACTGTATAAAAACAGTTCATGCTGCACTGTATTTGTTTTATCCTATCGTATCTATCATATGTTGTTGCCTTATTAAAAAATATGCTATACATTTAAAAGAAATGCATTTTAATTTTATAGTATAAACGTAAATATAAATACATTCATGAATGTTTTTAATGAATGGATTTTGTAATAATACAAATATCAATGTGTAACATTTTACCATATTTAGTGCAACACTTTTATTTGTTCCACACAAAATATTGTTTTTTCACTAAATGTTTGGATTTCTAAAATTATTGTGCACTGATTTTTCTAGAATAACTTTTGCTGCCGAATTATCCACTAACCTAGTTTATAATTTTTTGTCATAGATTATAAATATACATAGGCCTATATTTTTTCATATTTGTTTATTTTATTTTTCTTTATAATGAAGTAGTCTGTATCTAGTAGATTGTGAAAAAATCATTATCAGTTCCACACACAGAGCTATATAAATACTAAATTTATTTAAATGAGGGAAAAAAAACTTCACTGGTATCGGATCGGTATCTGTATCGGCCAATACTGAACCCTAGGTATCGGAATCGGTATCAGAAGCGAAAAAGGCGGATCGGAGCATCCCTAATTTCTAGTTAAAAATTACTCTTATATGAGTTTTTTGAATTGCAATTCTGCAATAACTTTTCCATTTAGAGTGTGAGGGGACCCTCAACAAGATCAAGAAGACAGGACAAAGAGTATTACTACATACGCTTAACTACACATTCTACATTATAGTAAAAAAAAGGTTCATAAAACAGCTTCATAAAAGGGTAGTAATCCATTAATTAAAATCTATTAAGGCAGGGTTAAAGTGAAGAAAGACTAACTAGTTTAAATTAAAAACATTAGAAGTCTACGGAGATCTTTCCCGTGCATAGCTGTACATGTTTGTGTGTATGTGAATGTACCTTGCGTGAGCAGCTGCAGAGTGCGGACCTCTTCTCTGACACGGAGCTGGAGAACCTGCTGTAGGATGTACTGTCTCTGACTCTCCTGCATGATGCCCATACGCTCCAACTTCCTGTCAGTGAGCCTCATCAGAGCTCGACCTGCACACACACAAACATATGAACATCAATCCAAGCTGGGCTGTACAAAGAAAAAAAACAAAAACAAATTGCACATTTATAACACATAAAGAATAACTGTACTTGCCATTTATAAAGAGCTATTATAATGCCCTTGTGGGAAAACGGATTGAGTATTGTAATAACCTACATTACAAGAACCTAATGAGAATATATTGTAATTAGTGAAACGAAATAGCCTGGAATTTTTTCCTCCAGCTAGAAATATGATCAAGGTCAGATGAAGTTCACTGTCATTTTTAATCATCGCCTCACAAATATTCTGCTCATATCTGTGCTGATAAAAGTCATAGTGCCTGTCAACGCCCCAGTTAACAGCTGCCATTTGTGCACAATATAGTTAAAGCCATTGTACCATCTCACACAACGCCTTGAGGTAGCGAAGCAGAAAGGCTACTAATGCATTTACACTGTGATGAAAATTGTTAATTCGGTTGTTTTTCGTGAAAGAGACCAAACACTGCATCATTATCTACGGAAAGGACGGTATTCAGATGGAGCATAGTACAATTTTCAGTGATTATGTTGCATTATGAGTGTGGATGCTCTGCTCCTGTCACTTGCTCCCTCTCTCTCTTAATGGTCATGTGTTTAAATCGAACCATGTCTCCGGTGAAGAGGAAAGCTACGTAGAACTGAAAAAAATTCACTGAAAGCTAGCCAAACAAACAATTAAGCTGACCCTTATCCACTGGAGAGCATTTCATGTGGTAATGCAAAAACCGGAAATTAAAAGGACAAAGGGGAACACATAGAAAAATTAAGTACCACTGTTTATCAGTATACGACAGGGCAGCCTGTAAAAAGTCAGTAAAATTACAATAATTAAAAAGGCAAGAAACATATGTTAGAAAATTGGAAATAAAATAATACATGTAGTAAGCTTTATGATTAAAATATGCAATAAAAAAATGGGGAGGAGAAAAAAAAATACACTTCAGGGCACAATATCCTTTTTTCACTGGTCCACTGGTTCAGATTTCTACTGTACATGCCAATAATTTCTAGCCCTATCACAAATGATAAAAAACAGTAATATCTGTATTTTATTTGTATAAAAATACATACATTTTAAAATTCAATTCAATTAATTGTTCAGTAAGAATTATTTTCACATTTATCGAATTTTCCTACATCTATATATATGTGACTATCACAGTTATAAATTCATAAACACGCACTTGCTGGAAAATTATAGATAGCATATGGTAATTTGTTTTTAAATATTCAAACCATTCTAACTGATATAGATCACAAATCACACAGCAAAACCTCCGCTCTATATTATAATAATAATAATTATGTTACATTGGTGACATTTAAATCAGTATAATTAGCAACAACAATATTCACCACATTACAAAAAAAAAGCCAAATGTTTTAATCTGCAAGGCATAAAACAAATATACATGATCATCAAACGTCTCAACACAGTAACTGACTCCAAATTTACACTGGCCCTGGGCCATCGGGCCCTACGTATTGTTGAGTCCTGCGCTAGATACATTTTGTGAACATTTTATTATTTTATGTAGTATTGTTTCTCTGTTAAATTTAAGTGATTTGACGTTCATATATATTTCTTTGGTAAAAAGTCTGATACTAATGAAGAACGAGATTCTTTTTCTTTAGAGTCATTTTATAGGACAGCCTACAATAAAGCAATATAAGAACAAAAAAAAACATTTTTCATGCGTCTGATCAACTCAAACTGTATCACATTTTGATGCATCTATATTTCTAAATAGAATATTGAGGCGCTATGAGCACAGATGGGGCCTCTTTAGTCACGGAACATTAGAAGCAGAAAATTGGAATATGTGTGAGGCGTGTAGGTTGAGGTGATCGGGGTAAGGTATTTCAGTATGTTGGTAGAGTGCCAAACTACCCCTTCATTTGGCAGCATTTGGCTGAAACGCCTCAATGAGGAACAGAAACTCAGCGTGCCTTCTCTCTGAATCACTGCCATAAGTGTTTCACTGAGAAGATGAGTCAAAGCCTGGTTAAAGAAGAGAAGAGAGTGTGAAAACAGGAAAGAAAGAAAATAAGAGCGGAATACATATACAGATGGGAAAAGAGTTACAAATGCAAGTGCATGAGAAGAAATGGGAAAGGTGCTATTCTAAATAAATAACTGTCCAACCAAAACATTTGAGATGTTTCTTAGATGTTACTTGGCAGGAAAAACGGGTCACTGGGTAACAGCTGTCTCAGCAAGATAAGGATGCAAAAGAATTTAGTCTGGTAGAAAACAAAAAAGCATGAAATATTGTCTGCTATAGACACAAGATATGTTGGCCATCTATTGCGCAAATGACATTACACATAGAGCTTCACTTAAAGATGATTCAAAATAGAAATATCTTCTAATATTTGAGTTTTTTGAGACTATTCCCAAAAACCATATTGAAAGGTAGCTTAACAAAACAATCTGCAAAATGCAAAAACGGACTATTTCTGTAAAAGGAAAACGAAGGACAAAGAAATGTATTACAACTATACTGCACCGTCTGTAAAAAATGTTTTAATTGAATGTATTACTATTTGTAATGGAAATTAAATAATTATAATAAAAATAATGAGAAATTAAATGTGTTACATACATAAAAAATATGCAGACTGTGCATCATGTGTTTATTTGCTTTGAGTGGTGAAAATGGCCTTTTCGTGTTTTAATGACCGTTAAAGTCTCTTCCCACACCTTACAGTAGGAGCTGAGCCAGGTGTCAGTGCAAACACCATCACTGCGGTTTTCTTTGTTCACGTTCCTGTGTCTACTTATCTTTGTGCAACTGACAGAGAAATGGTTTAAAAAATTTAACAGCATCTTGGATTTCAGCATACTGATCAGCCGGAAATCACGCTCCACACTTGGCTTCTTCTGAATACTGTTGTGACTGTTATCCAGTGCTACTACAATAACCATTTAACAAAGGCTACAAGCTCAAATCAGTGCCTAAAAGATGCATACACATAAAAACCAAAAGGTCAAGGTTTAGCAGGTTAGCATGAAGCAGTCAGCAGTTATTCAAAAGTAGTAGATGAAATGGTTTGCAAGCAACATTTAAAATCACAAGCATATCATTTTATTATAGGAGCTGCAATCCACATATGTGAGACATTAGGGCAGATAAATTCACTCTCCTTCTCCCTCCGGTTTCTGGACTGGCATACTCGTCTTCAGTCCTGATGAATGGATTAGCTTAAAGCTCTCTCTCCCCCCACTGTCACTCTAGGGACCTGTCCCTTTTACATGTGAACCAAAAGCCTGGCTAATTACTGCTCCAACAACCAGGAGGGATGACAGACAGAAAGAGAGAGCGAGAAGGGGGCTGGGGCGACTCTAGGGCCTATAAAGATGGAAATTAACCTCAATTTCTCTGACAAAACTCTCATGGTGAACAAGCAGGACTGTACTTGAGAAACACTGAGGCTGCTTGGACTGGTGAAGGAAACTCCTCAGGTGATACTGTAGCATACTTCACATAGTTTAACCGCAGCTGCATTCATGAGTCCCAAGAGGACCTTTCATACTCTCATTCTTTCTGTCACACATACACACACATATAGACACACAACCTGGCAGGCTCGCTAGCCCCTCAAACTATCGCAGAGCCTGAGTGCATAGCTGCCAAGTACGTCCCTACGCAGATCCATACAGAGTACCATCCAACAGGCAAGATTATGCTGCAAAATTACCTACTTTACATGGCAGAGGACCAAATACTAGATGAAAAATGCCAGTGAGAATTCGAAACAGTTTTTAAAATCTGTAAATCTGATGCTGAACAGAACGTTCTGCTACATTTACTCGAAAAATGGAAGAAATTCATTTTTATATATTACATTATTTTCTATATTACATTGTAGCGTCTGGACCAATCAAATTCATTAGATTAACAAGTCGTCACAGACCCCTCACCCAATAAACTGGATGCCAGGATGTCTGCAACGACACCAGGCCCCCCCTGGTCCCCATGGCAACCACGACACCTCTGCTAGACCAGATCCATTTACGACCTAATGGCATGTTGAGAATTTCCCCTCGCACTACATTTTCCATAGGAAATCCACAGTGCACAGTAAAAATGGACTCTTCTCTGATTAATTAATAGGAAAACCTTTCTTTGAATGAACACGCATATCCTTCAGGTCATGGTGTATGTTGTCTTTGAGATTTTATACTGTTTTATGCAGGCTTATGATGGAAACACTCATTCCTATCATCTTGCCTATATGTAATCCTGCCATGCTTAGTATCTATGAATTCGCCTTCTGATGATCTAAACGAGC